ATTATTACCCTAGGTAAAGTTTAAATAAACCTTAAGAAACTTAAGGTAATTAATAATTAAGAACTACTATAGAACGTTAAGTAAGTATAAAGCTTCTTAGGACTTACTAATTACTATTAACGCTTTATTAAAAATTTTTTAAAAATTACTATACTACTTATAAACTTAATAAAGAAAGACGTTAAATTTAAATTAACATAAGATACTTTAGCTACCTTTAAACACCTTAAAAAAGCCCTTACTAATACACTAGTACTTATAATATTTAACCTAAATAAACCTATTATAATTAAAACTAATGCCTTAGACTATATAATTAAAGAAGTACTTAGCTAACTAAATAAAAAAAGGAAACTTAGGCCTATTACCTACTTCTCTAAGAAACTACATAAACTAAAACTTAAATATCTTATTTATAATAAAGAGTTTATAGCTATATACTAAGTACTTAGTAAATAATATTAAAAATACTACTATAAAGGAAGTTAATTTTTAATAATAATCTTTATAAATTACTAGAATATTACCTACTTTATAATAATATAAAAACTATCCTATAAATAAGTTAAATATTATAAGTAATTTTCTAAGTTTAAGCTTATTATTAAATACTATAGTAGATTAAATAATAAATACGCTAATATATTTAGCAGGTACCTAAACTACTTTTAAAAAATCCCAGAAGTTAAGGTATAAATACTAAAGAAAAACTAATATAAAAACCTAGTTATTTAATTAATTAATACCTTATACTAAATTAAAATAGATAACCTAATTATTAATAATATAAAGGAATATATTAAAAACTAAAAAAATAAATAATACCTAGAAGGTATTTTTATAAATATTAAATACCTAATACTAAATAGACTTATCTAAGTACTAGAAGACTTACGAAGTAAAGTAGTAAAATCAGTCTACGTATATAAGCTTAATAAATATTATAAAATTAGAAAAACTATATAATAAATTATATAATACTTTAAATTTAAAGGCATTAAGAAATAAGTATAAAAGGTTATATTAGAATATATAATATATAAATAAGCTAAAAGCTTTAAGTATAAACCCTATAAATAGCTATAACTACTACCTATACTATAGCAACTATAGGAATTAATCTTATTTAACTTAATTACTAAACTACCTCCTTTAAAAAAACTAGTTATAAAGGTATTTTATAATAATATCTTTATAATAGTTAATAAACTTATAAAAATAGCCTACTTTATATTATTTAAGGAAACTAGCAATATAAAAGAATTAGCCTATATAATAATAAAATACATTATAAGTAACTATAGACTACTAAAAAATATAATCTCTAATAGAGGAAATACATTTATATTTAAATTTTAGAAAATACTTATAGCTAAACTAAGGATAAATTATAAAGCTAGTATAGCCTACTACCTATAGATAAATAAACAGATAGAAAGGATTAACTAAATAATTAAGACCTATCTACGCTATTATATTAATTTTAAGTAAAATAACTAAGTAAAACTCCTCCCCGTTGCATAATTTATATATAACAGTATAGAATTTAAATTAACTAAAAAATTACCGTTTTTCCTAAACTATAAATTTAAACCTAAAGCTTACTAATTACTAAAGTAAAAGGAAAATATTAAAAAAGTTATAATTAAAGTAAAGGATATAATTAAATTATATAATAAACTATAATAATAATTTAAATTTATTTAGTAAAAGATAATTAAATATATAAATAAAAATAGGATTAAAGGACTAACTCTTACGGAAGGGAATATAGTTTAATTATACTAATATATATAAAAAAATAAATAAGTAAATATTAAAATAAATAAACTAAGTAATAAACTTAATTTTAAAAAACTTAGACTATATAAAATTTTAAAAAAAATTAAAGAAGTAAATTATAAACTTAAACTTCTAAAACAATAGGAAAAATAAAGAAAATATATATACCTAATATTTTATATTTCCCTATTAGAAAAAGTATAAATTAATAAAAAAATTAGAAGATTTATCTAAAATAAAATTATTATTAAAGGAGAGGAAGAAGAATATAAGGTAAAAGATATTAATATAATAAAAACAGGAGAAAATAGTAAATAACACTATAAGGTATAATAGGAAAAAGGGGAAGAAAAAGAAGAAATATAAAAACCTATTAAGTATTTTAAGAATTTAATAGTACTAGTAGAAAAACTCTATTAAAGCCTAGGGATTATACTAGCTTAGGATTTATTAATAATATCCCTAAATAATCTACTAATTCTAAAAAAGCGGGGACAACCTTAAAAAAACCCTCTGCTAACTATATTATAGTAGCCTAAAGAACAGCCTCTGCCTTATACTCCTTCTATTTTAACTACTTTAGCTTTATTAAATTATTAATACCCTAAGATATTATATATACTACCTTTTTAAACTATTCCTTATATTATTTCTAAAGATAAATAACTTTAGCTATAAAATTTATAATTTCCTCTTTAACAGCTTTAACCTTACTATTAAGCTAGTTATATTAATAGGAAATATATAATAATTATTAAGGTATAAGAAATACTTTATAATAAGATTTATAATCCTTAATATACTTTAAGCAGTAACTTAAGTTAACCTCAGAAGCTAAATACTAAAATCCCTTTTTTTTATAATAGAAGCAGGGTTTTATTTTAATAAATTATAATAATATAAAAGTAGTAAGTATTATACTTTTATTAAGTTTTTTCTTTTTTTTTTTTATATTAACTAAGTTAGTAGATTTTTAAATACGGAAAGTTATTTTAGTAATAAATAGGTAATAAAATAAAAAGAATACCTGTAAGTAGGAGGTATAAATACTTATATACTAAATTACCTAGTTTCGGGGATAAGACTAACAGGAGGAGGAGAATTATATTACGACCTAGCTCTTATAGTTATAATAAAGGGCCTATAGGGTAGGTACTCCCGGATTAACGTTAGGCTGCATAGCTAATTAAGAAGCGGTCGACGGGAATTAACGTTAATTTTAATTAATATAGGAATAAATTAATTAAGATTATAAGTAATTTTATTTAACTTTAGTATATATAACTAAATATATAAGTTTACTTTATATTATTTATTAAAATACTTAAATAGTTAATTATTATTATAGCGTTTATAATATAATTAAATTAAAACCTAAATATTTATTTTTATTTATATTACTAGCTGATAATAAAATTACCCGTCACTAACTTAATTGCTCTGCTAATATAAACTATAAAACTACTCTAAGGTTTATCCCTTAGAAACAGCTAACCTATAGTACCTATAGGACCCGGTTTATTATATAATAATAACTCTTATTTAAACAGTTACCTTAGACCTATAGGTAATAAAACACTAAGAACTTAGCAGCCTATAAGTTTTAAAGTTCTAAATAATAATACTAATTACAAAAGCAAAGCTTAAAGTAACTATAATAGTAGCATTAAGCTTAAAAACGTACCAGCCGAAAATATAGCTAATTAAGCTAAGTATAATAAACTAAAGGCTAAGTTTAAAGCTTTTAAAACCTAGCTTTAAAACCTCTAAGATAGAAAAAGAAAAAAGGGTAAGGTTATTAAACTAACGAAGCCCGAACCCTTTAACGGAGATTTATATAAAATAAATAAATTCTTTTTAGAACTTATAACCTATTTTAAATACTTCCCTTATACCTTAAAGGATAACGAAGATAAAGTTATCTTTATAGACAGCTGCTTTATAAAAGATACTAAAACATAGTTCTAATTTATTATATAAAATTATAAAAAAGGAAAAATTAATTTAAAAAAGCTTAAAACGTAAACTAAAGAAATCTATACTAAGTATATGGAATTTCAAAAGTAACTTAGGAAATCCTTTAGTATTATAAATAAATAATAAAAGGCTAAGTAAAAACTTTATTTTATTACCTAAAAAAGACTACTAAGTAAATATACTTTAACTTTCCTATACCTATTAACTAAAGTTAACTAAACTAAGAAAATTAAAAAAAAAGTTTACTATAATAGTATAAAACCTAAAGTTAAAGATAAACTCTTTAAAATTAACTATAAAAAAATAACCTTTATTAACTATACTTAAAAAGCTATTAAAATCAATAATTACAATTAGGAATAATAGAAAAAACGGAAGTAAGAAAAAAAAGGGAACTTTTATAATGTTTAACCTAAGTAAACTTAAGGAAACTAAATTAACTAAGGGAAAAAGTAAAACGATTATATTACCTTTTTTAATAATAAATAACTAGGCTTAATAAACCTTAGTATTATTAAGGCTTAATATAAAAACGTTAAATACTATAACTGCGGAGAAAAAGAATATATAAAAAAGTACTATTAAAAACCTACTAAAAAAATAAAAAATAAAAAATTCACACTTATTCTAAAGCCTAAGGAAAACTAAGCTATTAATACTATATAACCCTTAGAAAACTATAATATCTTATACTTCTTAGTATACTATAATAATAATTATTAAATTTATTATAGTAATAAATAAAAATCAGAATAATACCCTAAAGGATATATATAAACCTTAAATACGCTTAAAAAAATTACCTAAGAGGACTTTAGCCACGTTAAATAACTTATTTAATAAAGCCTTAATAAGTAAAAATAAAATAATAAATTTAAAAATAAAGAAAAGGTACTCTAAGAATAAAAATAAAATAAAGCTATACGCTAGTATAATAAAGATCTTCTAAATATAGTACCTCTAACGTAATATAACCCTTATAAAAGGATAACTTAGGAAAAAATCAACGACCTTAAGAAACATATATATAACTAATACAGGTTAGTAAAACCTAAAGGTATTTACTACCTTTATAAAATAACTACAGTAGACTAAGAATAATATAAAGATTAATATAAAATCTAAGGTATTATTAAAGAAAACTAATACTATAATGAAATTATATAATAAAAAGAACTTAAGGATTAACAAAAACTCCTTAAATAATAGGGATAGATTAAATAAATTAATTTAAGTACTGCCTACGACTGGATTTAATTACCTAAAAATTAGTTTTAATAATATATTAAAACTAATATAAATAAATACCTAGTAGCTAAGTTATTAAAATTAGCTATTTACTTTATTAATAATATCTAACTTATAAACTAATATAATAAAGCTAATATTATTAACTATAAGCTACTACTATATAAATAATATATTATAACTAAGCTTAATAAATAGTATAAGAATTATAAAGCCGCTAAATATAAACAAAAGGAATTTACACTTTATAATAAAGATTATTATAAAAAACACTAGTACTAACGCTAAGCCCTTATATACGTTACTTATAAACTAAAATAATAAGGATTTAACTTTATAAAGTATAGTAATAATAATAAACTATAAAGAATTAACTAAAATAACCTTTAAAAGTACTATAAGCTTACTACTAAATATATACCTAAGCCTAAATATACCTAGTGTAAATACTATAATATTTAAAATAAAGAACTAAAATAAATTACCTTAGACCTAGATGATATTAATATTAACCCTTACGGTAATAATTATTATAACAGCACTAATAATATAACCTACTATAACTTAAATACCCTTATAAAAGGAAAGAAACTATAAAAATTCTAAGTATTAAGTACCTTAGAAAAATATTTAATTATAATCTATATAAACTCTAAAGCTATAATAAACTATATTATACCTTAATTAGTTAATTACCTATAGTTAACCTATTATAAAAAAGAGAAATTATATACTTTTACAAACATTAAGAAATAATAATTTACTTATAATAACGGAATTATTAACTACAAAACCAATTACCTTATAATCTAGTTTAGTAAAATTAAAAATATATTTAAATTTAATATTATAAATATTATAAAATATAATATACTTTTAAAATATAATTAGCTTAAGTTATATAACCCTAATATTAATTAAAAAGGAGGCTATGTAATATAGTAATCTTACGCCTAACTAACTAATATTATAGTAAAACTATAACTAAATTAAAAAGATTAATAAAATACTATAATATCCTTAATAATAGGATTAGTAACCCCTATATTAAATAAAAAAATATAAAAATATATAGAAAAAAAAAAAGTTATAAAATAAGTATATTTTAAAAAGCTAAAGAAGCTCCTAAAAATAGTTAAATACATTAAGAAACTAAAGAAAAAACAACTTAGATTTCTAAACTTAATTATATAAAAGGTTAAGGAATTATACTACTAAGACCAACAGACACTAGAATATTTAAGAAACGTACTAATAAACCTTTAGTATATATTAGTCTTTAATAAAGAATTTAATACTAAACTACTAAAATACAGCTAATA